TTGGCCAGTTCAATGCTGGCATGACTATATGGAAATAAGAATAAGACAGATGTTGGTAAGCTTCTTATTTTACGTATAAATGTAAGCAAAATAACAGTTACCATTAATATATAATAAACCTAAGGACATGATTAAATTAATGAACAATTACCTCTATGATTGATTTATCAGTCGAGATGTAAATCGAAATTTTCTAAGATCTAATAGAGGGCATAAGTTGAAGACCATATGTAAGCATATTCTATTCTAACATTAACCAATGAGTAATTGTACTACGGTAATAGTAAAATATGCTTTATACAAGATTTGGGACAAATAAAATATGTTTTCAATGAGCATGAATCATGCAAATAACATACGAAGTACAGATTTATACATCCGACATTAAACTATAGTGTTTGCATTAGGGAGGACATTGATCCTGGTATCTGCAGCTTGATAGCCAAGAAGTTTGAAAACTAACTCATCACCAAAACTGTTAATTTCATAAGGATAATTTTCTAAACAACTGTGACATATAGAACATAAAGTTTGTCTGAAAATTAAAAGGTTAACTTTTCTGATATTTATATGACTATTAAAAGATGGGTAGGCTTCCATGCACATTCACTTAATTCCTGATACAAACTTTCATAAAGACTGAGTTCTACTATCGTTTTTCCCAGCATTACTTTGAATGTGTAGCTAAACGTTTAAAATTTATTAGCACGTACCAACTGTCAGTGAAGATTTTATCATCTGTATATCAGTCCTTACCAATCATTGGATAGGCAACAGAGAATAAAATTTTTCGACCAAAATTAAACGTACTAATATCTAACGCAAGCTTGACGGTGTAACGTAAGAACCCATCTTTTAGATAATTAAAATAACCCATAGTGTCATTGAATAAGAAAAAGAGAATTCAGCGAAGAAAATTTTCTTTTCGACGAAATCATTTACTTAAGCTGTACATTCGTATATATAGTTATATGGAAAATGTATGTCTATAGAAGGATAGAAAGGATTGTATCACAAAAAATAGATTGGACAATAATTAACAAATGAGGTTAACGTACTAATCAAGGGGTAAGGAAGAACAAAATTTATGGGTCAGATAATAGTTCAATTGACAAATATGAAGAAAAGCGACAAACAACAAAGGTCACAAGCGCCACATCAAAGTGCATTTATAAATTTACTTGGTCATCTGGGGCAAGTTACATAGGCCGCATAAAGCGATCCGTATCCAAACGCATCTCGGAATATTATCCGGCCTGGCTTTTAAAAGGGGAACGTAAAACAATCACTAGCTCTATACAGGACTACTTAATTAACTGTGGACACAACGCTCCAAAAGACTCTTCATTTAAGGTAGTCTACAGAGTCAAAGGATCTGGATCGAATCAATATTTTATGCACCGCAGAGGCATTGGTAATCCACAAACTCAAGCCTGAACTTTGCGTGCAGAAACCATTTGTCCAACCTCTCATACTTCCTTGGCCCTTATTCCCATAATGGGTATGTTCCTGTGTTGGTGGGTTGTTTTTCTGCACTTTTATTTAATTATTGTCGATATTTTTAAAATTACTATTTTGTACTTTAACTCTAATCATTTATTATTATGACCTTTGTTGTTTGTCGCTTTTCTTCATATTTGTCAATTAAACTATTATCTGACCCATAAATTTTGTTCTTCCTTACCCCTTGATTAGTACGTTAACCTCATTTGTTATTTACTGTCGAATCCATTTTGGTGATATAATCCTTTCTATCCTTCTATAGACATACATTTTCCATATAACTATATATACGAATGTACAGCTTAAGTAAATGATTTCGTCGAAGAGAAAATTTTCTTCGCTCAATTCTTTTTTTCTTATTTAATATCTTTGAATTAATCTTTTTCGATTCCATCTCCTTCACTTCTTAAATGAATCATAATGGTAACTTATTTTCTGTCTTTATCATGTCAGAAAAGTGCGAAAATATTATCTAAGTATGTACTTTACTGGTTTTATTTTTGTTAATTAATCGAATTTAATTTGACATTTTTCATAGTTTATGATTCATCTACTTTGTTCATCATTAAGATAACTTATACAACACAACTATATAAATCCTAACTTATGATACCTTTTATATAATTTTACTAGTTATACTAGATCAAATATTTCTGAATTAACATTTCTAATTGTTACCAGTGGAGTTCAACCAGGTCTGTTGTGAGATAGGAACTCACTGAAGACAATGGTGTACGGTGGCGCAACCTCGTGGATTGGTTGAAGTTAAACATTAACACCGTTGGATGCCGGCTCAGTCGTCTAATGGTTAAGTGCTCGCGCGCGAAGCCAGTAGATCCTAGGTTCGAGCCCCGAGTGGTGCGGGATCGTGCATGCCCACTGCTGAGGAGTCCCATACTAGGATGAAACGGCCGTCCAGTGTTTCCAGGTTTTCAATGGTGGTTTAGCTTCAAGTGACTCATGATTTCAATCTGTGAAACTTCTAAAAAATCTCCACAAAACCCATTCTGATTTCTAATTGTATTTGTAAATGAAGATAAATAATGTGACTAGTTAAAACTAAGCAAATTGAAATCTAGTCTAATTAATCTAAAAGAATTTCGAATATGTTAAATGACATTTATTATATTCGTGTCTATGGTACAAATTCACAACATTTTGGAGAGAGAAAAAAATGAAGAAAGAAAGGTCAACACCAAAAGTCATCCTTGCTAACGAAATATCATGCAGTCTTAACAAGAAATTAAATTATTCCAGATGAAAGTAGAAAATGAGATATTCCTGAAGTTTATTAGTTGGATTATTGAGTCAATTAAAGCTAGACCACTATGGAATACCTGGAAGCACTGGATGGCCATTTCATCCTAGTATGAGACTCTTAAGCAGTATGTATACACGATTCTGGATTGTTTATTTTAAGTAGTAGTGATTTGATATTATAAAAATTGTATAGTATTATTTATGACTTGGAAAATCAATTAAGTTAAGAGTGAGGAATAATGTCCATTTGTAATATTTATGACATCTAAAATGGCTTAGTAACACAGGTATTAACTACTTTACTAAGAGAATATTATTTACAACTAAGTCAACAGGTTATTCGTCTCATTAAGACTAAACGAGTACATTATAGCTATCTAGACTCTTTTGTTAGCGTTAGATTACCAGAAAAAATGATACATATTCTAAAAACCACATAACACAAAAAAAATCAAACTGTAACTTATTTGGTGGAGTTTTGTTCCCTGAGCTGGATGGTTGATTGTGAAGCTTTCATTGCTATTCTACATGACATCAACAGCATAAACTTCAGAAGCATTTATACTCACTGTTTCTGTAATGCATGATAATATCTCTGCTTATAAGTCTATTTTTTAGAGTTGCACTGTAAAAGTATCATTGAAAAATAGTTAGCTAACATGTTTATCACTGAATAGCTTTAGACATAGTCAGAATACTTTGTTTAGTTAACTAATTCCATCTAAATAAAGAAATTTCTCACATCTATCAACAAAGTAATAGAAGAATTTCATATTATAGCACATTTATTACTTATTTATTTATTTCAACACATAAATATTGGTACAAGAGGGCACCAAATACATATGCGCCACACCATATTTGTGTGTGTATGGACTGTGATACTGCTCGGGTGCCCAGACCGAAACAGGTGGTTTTCTTAGGGGGCCACACCCCGAGCCTTTGTCCTGAAGGTCTGATCCACAAGGCAGTGGAGTGTCGTCAGGAAATGCAGTCCCATGGTGACCAACGATTGGTTCATACGCCATTTGTTCCCGCAAGATACTGGAGCCCATTTGCACCATTGGTTTGGGGTCCGGTTAAAGCGTCGGACATTCGCTTTTCGTCCTTTCATTTTTGTAAACAACACCCCCGCCACGAGAAGGGAATGAGTAGGACTTTCCTGGCAGAGGCTATATACGCGTGGCCGTGTGAGAGCGTTTCGAGAGGGAGGGCGGACTCACCCACTCTCGGACATTCCAGGGCATATGTGGGCATTATAGGACGTAGCATCAAAAATAAATAGAGAAATGTAAAATTCAATTACATCATAATAGGAGTTACTAAACGATAACTTATTTGAAACTTGAACTAAAATATCTTATTATCTTGGAAAGTAAAGATTGAAAATTTACAATATAGTCACACTAATGTTTTTTTAAATATTGAATATAACCTAAGCAACGAATACTTTTAAAGACAAATAAATGACAAGCAGTTAAAAATAAATGAAAACACACAAATCCTACAATCGAGTACACCAAAACTGAGTTATGTATTTCACTTTTTTTGTTTACTGATGATACGACCAGATAACAGTGGTACTATATTTAAACTAATCAATCAATAAATACAACTTTTGTAGTTTTTTTTAATCAAATGATAAGATAAGAAAGTCTGGTTGCTAGCGGGGTTAAAAACAAAATAAAAAAATCATTTTGTTGTCAGCATATTGAAATCAATGCGGATTAAGATTTCAATGATGTTTTTCGTAAACATGTTCAGATTTCCACCTTATTTCTGTTATTATTTAGAATGATGATAAATAAGTATAAATAGTTAAATTTATTTGTCTAAGTGTTTTATCTACACTGAATGATAAACCTTCGTGTTCAAATATGTTATTAGTCGATATATAAAATAACAATATTCAGTTCATAATAAACACTTAACTCCTTTAACAATCAACACAAGTTACAAAGAATGTATACTTTATACGAATATTCGTCAAAATTAGGACGAATAGTTTGACAGTAATTGAGCACCGAGTATAGAAAAGTCATTATATGTGAAAATTTGATTTTGGTTACTACCCTGAAGAAGTCCAGACAAGTTAGCTGGACGAAACGTCGGAATTAGTTAAATTTCAATTACTGAGAATATTTCAAATATAATTTTCACATATAATGAATGTATACTTTAGTTTGATTTACTAGAATTATTTTAGATGGTCAACAACACAATAAAACAGTACTATTGTAATGCAAGAAAGTGAATATTTTTCATGATTTGTACATTTTAATAAAAGACATCATCACAACCAGATTCATAGATAATTTGCTTTATAAAATATACAGGAATGATTTATGAAAAAGAAAACAAGAAAAAGAAGTGAATGAAAGTAGACAAAATTCGAAGCAAATCAAAATAATTGTTGAAACAATAATCATTCGGTCAGAATAAATCACTGGGTCATTATTCATTTCAATGATAAGCTGTTTACGGAAGAAATTACAAGTGATAGGGGAAAAAATGACAATTGAGAATCGATTTATGATTATAATTATTAGTAGTAATAGTAGCAGTAGTAGTGTAGTTAACGAGAACACAAGTGGAGACACATATATGTAATCCAATACAACATTACAGAATACCTTGGTAAAATCTGAGAAACATACAGTAAATACGTAATTTGTAAAATATCCATCAACTGTCTCAGAATTTGTTGTTCCTTCGTTTCCATACAATCACTCTCTGATTTTGTTCTTTTCTCTTTGATTTTTTCAACCTCTTATTGTTAGGTATTCCACTATGGATTGTAAATACATACTACTTATATATGTCGAAATTAGTAGCCCACACCACAGTAGTATCAATAATATCTTGTTTAATAAAGTTAAAAGTTTCTGTGTATTAGAATATGAATAAAGGTGTAAGAAAAGTATTTTTTCGTCATTTTTAAAAGATTACACTTTCATAAGTCATCAGTAATAAAAATAAATTATACATAAATAAGCTAACAGTGGAAATTATTTCAGCGTACAAAATAAATTAGAGAATTATATTGTTCTTAAACTGAAAAAAAGAACACAAGCTCCTGAGGATAAACAGTACATTAATATAACATTCACTAGATACCGGCATAAACACAATTTTGAATAATACAAGATAGGTGTGCATAGATTGACAATACATTGTCTATCTTTAGACAATGGATATGTGTGAACAAAGCACATATACACAAACATACAAAATGAAAGCAAATTGGAGTGTAGTTAGAAATAAGTTTTACGTCGTTTTCTTTTAGGTGGGGGGCATTGTAATGAAAATATCATAAATCAGATATGTGAATGTACATGTTTTAACAGAAGAACACAAAAAGAAGCAATATGCAGTCATAATTACAGGAATTTCTTTATTGCCAACATTCTACATTTCATAAGAATTAAAATTAACAAAATACTACCAAAAGAAACGAAAGATGAAATAAATAAATAAATAAGCATAAACATAGAAGGCCGAAGCTGACGTCAAAAATAAAAGTAATAATAACTAATATATGAAATTGTATTATTACTGTTGACTATTATTATTATTCAACATAACCATTCATGGTAAAACTTTCTGATGCAATACCAATTGCTTCAACAATAAAACCTATTTGACTTAATTGTTTATGATTTAATATAATGCGTCCATCAAATATTCTTGCTGGTTTCGTCATTAAACGGTAAAATTTCGCATAATCATATTCCTTGGAATAAATTGTAAAGAAAACAAAGAAATGTATTGGTGGACAACAAATAAGCAAAATATAATGTTTTATTATGAGCAGAATTCTTTGGAAATTTACTTTTATTTGCTTGGGTTCAAGTCTCGTGTGCGAGAAGTCTTATACTAATGTAAAAAGGCCATATAGTTCTTCCACGTTTTTAATGGTGGTCTAGCTTAAATCGACTAGTAATTTTGACTATGAAAATATTGAATCTTTACGAATCCCTATACTGATAACAATTATGTGCTCACTAATGACTAGCTTTAGGATGTAACTTTTGAAGTTCTAGTGAGAAACCTTGATCAATTAAGTTCAATCCATATCAGATGTGAGGCAGTTATCCACCTTAAGCAATGAATAAAAGGTTACACACGACCATATATCGATGGAAGTTGAACATTGACATCGTTGGATGCCAGTTTAGTGGTCCATAGGTTAATTGTTTGCGCGCGAGACCAAGGGTTTTGGGTTGGAGTCACATGTGTGAGATTGTGGATATGCACTTGTGGATGCGAAGGATAGACCAATAATTATCATGTTAAGTCCAATGGTGTCCTTGGACTTTAAATGGACATTTCCTACTGGTCGATATCTGTCCACTTGTTGAATATGGTAGAAAATGTTGTTTTCTATTTTTATGGTACGATGTGGTATGTTTGGTTAGTATATAAATAGAATATGTCTGAAATACAATGATTCATGACTCAGAGGCTGATATTTGTGTTCTGGACTCAACTGGCTGGGATAGACAGGGAATCGGGACCAATCGTAACTCTAGGTCGTCCATTACGTTCGTACGTTTTTACGTGTCATTGAATCGGTCGATAAATATGCTGCTCTCTAGTTTTTTTCAGTCAAGGACACAACAATTTTCTCGACCACTACATAAAGTCACAACAGCACTGTTGATAAGTCCCATCCTAGGATGAAACGGTCTTCCAGCGCTTCCGGGGTTGAAATGGTGATCTAGCTAAGATCGACTCATGAATTCAACTGCGAAAATACGACAATCTCTACAAATCCCCGTACTGATTTTGTTTATTTGTCTGTTGATTGACAATTAACTAATTTTTTGCACAATTGAATTATACGCTAATTTTAATAGACTTTTTCATAAATATTTATTATTGGCTTTTAGTTTTGCATTTTATTTTATGGCAATATTTTGAATATCTAATGTTTGGATCGTTTGTGTATTGAAAAAACATGCTAAGAGTGTAAATTAAAGGAAGTAGATTCATAAACAGAAATTGTTTAACAAAAACTACCATAAATTGTAGCTAATTTCCCTAATCAAGATGTACCAGATATTGTATATAAGACATTAAACTCATACAGTAAGAGAGTTAGTTTTCGATCACGACTGGCATTTAATTAGCGTAACAACCATTCAAATTCAATCGGTGAGTAACACTTTATCTACTTAACATAAATGCATTTCACTAGTCATGATTTTGTAATAAAAGTTGAAGGGAATCCATTTGAAAATTAATTAGTGATTAACATAAAATAACAATTTTAATTCGAAAGTTTACATGATCTAGTATAAATTAAACATACAATTTTGTTTACGTTTTAACAAGCTCATCAAATTTACTGATCTGTTTTTAATACAGATAAATGTATTATTAATTAGGACTAATCACAGTTGATTGATCATTGGGTGGTGTCATGTGTGTCGAATCCCTCTTAGTGCAGATCGAATGCTATCGACTAAGTTGCAATGTGGCCACTAGTCTAGGTGACTCGATACTGCGTACACTATGTTGAGATAAGATGGTGGTTGGAGGTGGTCAACAGGAAACCTTGGACCTGGGTTTCGTGCTACTTGGCACTCGTCGGCAAGGTGTACCTGTAATCGTGAGGAAACTGGTGCTCCCTGACAGATTCGATCCCGTGTCACCCAGCTTCGCAGTCAGAGACGTTACCACTGAGCTATCTGGGCCGCGACCGACCTCCTGTAGGACTGAGATGTAATCACAATTGATTGATCACTGGGTGGTGATCAATGTCATGTGTGTCAAGTCTAGTCAATCCCACAAAATAAACAAACAGTAAAGAACTGAATGAAAAGCAGAAAAACAAACAAAACAGAGAATATAGAATAATAAATTCAAAATACTACGTTGTTGAATACTTGTACAATTATGAAGTACTAATATATTTAGGTAGTTTCAAGAAATTCAGTATGGTGTCAGTTAAAACCTACAGACAATGTATTTTTGGTTCATTTATGTATTATATTCAAGGGAGTCAGTAGTGACCTAACAAGGACTGTATCAACGTTTTAGCCAACCAGTTTTATATTGACACCAATAATTTAACGGTCACAACTGATTGATCAACGAGTAGTGACCAGTACTATTCATGTCTGGTCCTTCAATCCGATCGATCGAATTGCAATTTATCTAGCTGACTTTATATTGCGCTCATGATTTCAAAATGTTAGCTGCTTCGAAGTGATTGACAACTTTTATAGTATTGGTGCTTCCTAACGGGTTCGACACGGGTTGCGTGTTAAATAACAAGAAACACAGATCTAGGGTTTACTGTTGCTCACCTCTAACCACCTAACAAAAATTAATAGTAATCTACACATTATGTTCCTAGTTTCGACAGAACTAGACGATAATGATATTGAACTCTCTATAAGTATCACGATATTTTTTTGTATTTTCAACCGACAGTGTATGAGAAAGAAGACATTACTCGTTCGAAGGTTTATTATAAGACTACAGGAGGTATGGATAACAGTTCCTAGCTAGCAAGATGATGTTGTATATGAGAACCGTCATATACACGTGAAATAACAAGTGGCACTTAAGTAGTTTAGTTCACTTCATCAAAACTAATGGGGCCAACAGCAAGTCACGAATGATTATCGAGTTACTGATTTTGAGAGAATATACACCATCAAAAAGTGATATACCAGTATTTCCATTTTATATTATTTGTAACTGACAACTGAACTATCAATTCTGGAAAAACAAACATATTTATTATTTATAAGTTATTTAAAAAAGAAATTCAAAGATTCTTACATCCATATAATTATACTGTAACGTCAACATACGATGTAAAATAACCACTAAATGGACGTGTTGGTTTAAGTCATACATTTAAACGAAGACAAAAAGAATTCGTACGAATCACTTTCCAACAATTCAACAAGAGAATTTCTCAATACAATACAATACTCACTTGGAAACATTTCCAATCTGTGCATATCAGAATAGCATAGGCGTTGGTGACAGCTTCCTCAGGCGTAGAACAAATGTGAACGAATTGACTAACTAAAATACATACACACAAAAAAGCATTGGAGAAAAATATTGTCGGTAAATATGCACGAACAGAAGCATTATCTAATTGTGTACATCGATGTGTTTTATATTCTCCCACTATTTTAATACATTAGTAAAGATATTGAAACGAGTAATAGGATCGCAAGGTAGATCCATATTCATATGATTAAAAAGAATGTTAGCTCAAATGTGTGGTAATGTGTTGTATAGGAAATCTTTCCAGCAATTAATTCTATATGATTCAGGTCAACTAACATTATTAAAAGATAAAATCAATTCGTTACTAATCAATAAATTCGTGATAGTTTAATAATAACGGTAACCATTTACATAACTAATATAATACGATGTGAAATGGTGGCTCAGTGACAAACATACCATTGGGGAAACGGTAACACAAGTTGCCTAGGGTGAAGGAGTGTCGTTTATGTACACAGATCACATGTGATTAAAAGTTGAGTGCATGAAACTGTAATTGGTTCCCAGAATTTGTTCTTCTTGTCACTATTATTGTTATTATTATTATCATATCGAATCGAGTTAGTATGGTTTACTACTTTATTTCTAACACAAATTTCAGTTTACCAGGAAATCTTTACATTCAACTGATAAATACCTGTCATTTATTAGTTTTCCGAATGTGTGTGAGCGTGTATGTGAACGTTAGGCCACAAAATTGTAATTCTGCAGCAGTAGAAAATCTGAAGACATCAGACCTATGTACATACATTGATTATGTATGATTTTCTACTGCTGCAGAATTACAATTTTGTGGCCTAACGTTCACATACACGCTCACACACATTCGGAAAACTAATAAATGACAGGTATTTATCAGTTGAATGTAAAGATTTCCTGGTAAACTGAAATTTGTGTTAGAAATAAAGTAGTAAACCATACTAACTCGATCTGATATGATGATAATAATAATAATCTGAATTATTTTTCTAGTTAGCGTGTTCTAGCTAGTTAGTTTTCTACGGGATAGGCTCGCTAAACCCATGCCCAACCCTCCTCGTTCATCAGGGGTTGGGACCGGCAGTAGCCCATGAGGGGCTCCAGGTGGAAGATATACAAATTCTGGGAACCAATTACAGTACTCTTAGGGTTCTGGGTCACCTATTTTTTTAACTATCCAAATAATGCAACCAAATAAACAACCCTCCTATTGTATCAGCACGCTTTTATAAAAAGCTTACGACAGGAGTTCCAATACAATCGCCAAGACAGTTTTTTTGTACGAAGCTGAAACTTGGAAAACTACCATCGCCAAAAACGTAAATGTATTTATAAAAAACTGCCTACACAATATACTCCAAATCTGTTAGCCAGACACAATCAACAATAACCTAGTCTAGTAGAAAACAAGTCAGTTTCCAGCTAAACAGGAAATTAGAAAATGACGATGGAGTTGGATGGGAGACACATTGCAAAAATCACCAAACATCATGAGGTAAGTCCCAAGTTCAGATCCTCAAAACAAAGAACAAAGGGCGCTGGGTATTGGGAGAAGATATTAAATGAATAAGTAGCACTTAGGAACAACTAGAAAGGAGAGCGCAAGACAGAGTTGGTTGGAGAATCCTGGTCGACGACTTATTCTCTACGAGAGTTAACAGGCAATACACAGCGGAACTAAACAATGGGAAATCCGAGTAGAATAATTATCATCACAGTGGTTTACTTACTTTCTTTTTTTCTGTCGTTTTGATAAACTAAAGACGATTATGCATTAAATATACATTACGCAATGGCAGAGTGTCATAAGAACTAAACCGGTCGTAAACGTTTGGAATGATAAGGATGGATGACAAGTAAAATCTTTGTTTTAAGTTATATTTGAGTATTTACAATTTAAGTGGATCTAAGAGTGGAATTTATTGAAACATTGTAAATTTCCCGTTAAGAAAACTTTTACTGTAACCGAATAGGTACAAATAAATAAAGCCAAAATTGTCGTTATGATTTTTGTTGATTCAATATTCAATAAGTGAGATTATTATGTTCCATCTCTCGACGTATCATTCATATAATATTCTGGATAAAATCGTAAACTACTAAGAAATGTCAAAAACTACATACCCTTTGTTCTTTACAATCCAATCGATGAATATCCACTTATAATGAAAAACTATAGTTGAACCATAATGATAGAAATTATTGTGATCTTATATCTAGTTAACACGTAATTTGATTAACACAGTAATTTAGATTAGAGTTTTCAAATTCAAAGACATTCTTACTTTAAGTGGTTTATTAATAAACAAACAGAATTGAATTATAAGTAAACAAATGAAATAGGCATGGTAAAAAAACTCCTTGAAGAATACTATGTTACTTACATGAATCTTTATTATTATTGATTAATAAATCTGATTCAATTTGTTTATGAAGAGCTTTAGGATCATAGATTGCTAGTTCAGCCTGTTCTTGTAATAACTGATTACACAATGGTATCACAGGACTATCTCTAATATTTTTTAAAGAAAAAAAACGATGATAATGTGAATACAAGTAGAAAATGCATTGATGAAATGGAGATTTAAACTAACGTATTGACAGACAGAAATGTAATTAGTTAACAAATGATTAGGATTTACATAATACGTAAACATAATGGTCAAGCGCTCGTGTGCGATACCGATAGGTCCTGGGTTCGAATCTCGCGGGGGCGGGATCGTGGATGCTCACTGCTGAGAAGTCTCGTATTAGGACGAAACAGCCGTCCAGTGCTTCAAGGTTTTCCATGGTGGTCTAGCTTCAATTGACTCACGATTTCAACTATTCAAATTTTTAAAATCTCCACAAAACCTCTTCTGTCAAGATAATTATTTAATTTAAAAAGAAACATTCTAACCTTGTATCATGTGTATCTGCTTTAAAAGTGAAGCCAAATATTGCAATACGTTTTCCTTTTAATGTATTATGCAATTTTTCAATTACATTACGTGTAAATCTCTCAATTTGATAATTATTCATTTGTAGTACACTATACCAATAAGCAGCTACTTCTGGTAAATTCAATGTCTCTGATATATACATCTAGAAGTGTAATAACAACAAGAATATACAAATAAAACTGTGAAGAAAAATTCAGTCCATTTGAATATGAGTGTTGAAAATGAAAATCAGTTAAATGTGAAAAAAGAAGTTTTACCTATTTTAGAATTATTTTGTTTACATATCATTACAATCATAAAACAAAATAAATTCTGATGAGAACACTATAATCATATTCTTAAATACCTCAGTGAGACAAGTGGAGTAATTTATTGACTTTAACAAAACCAACCTGCTAATGAGAGCAACTAAAAACACATTCACTCTTGAAAGTCAAAACTTCTTAGTATCACGAGTACTTTAGATGGAACGAAAAAAAAATCATTGCTGTGTTGAATTATATATATGTGCCATGCTTATATTGAGTATGCTTGACTTAATGCATTCCATTTTAAACGTACTAAGTGCAACTTTATAGTCATTAGACTTATCATACTACTACTACTACCACTACTGTGTAGTACTGTAATTTAACAGTAAAAGTGTTTATCGGCAATGTGATTAAGTCTCACTGCTTAACAAATACTATTTTTAGGGTGTATTCGTCACATAGTAACCTCAGTTGGTTTACTATTCAAAACCAGAAAGTAGCATGCTGAAGATTGAGTGTACAAAAAGTAAGATGAGTTTACTTTATTTGAAAATAAACTGTTTTGAAAATGTTCGTCGTAGATTGCGCTAATTTCCTAAATATCAAGTTCTCTGTAAAAATTTATCACAGATTGATGCTAAAATTAATGTAGGTTTCATTCATAATAACAATTACTTAATTCATCAATATAAATTTCATTACTATTAGGAATTCTTAACAAGATTATAGATTATAGCAACAAAACCATTCCTCAACATAAATTCAATTTGTAATTATTCCTAGATATATTCTATAAATCTTTTTCAATTGTCAATTTCTGCCACTACTATAGTCTTCAATTGTGAAAGTTTTCGACTGGTTCACTGACTACAGCTCTTTCCTTCATCTGTCATATATTGAACTAATGAATTCCAATGTAGTCATCTATTATGTCATTGGAGAATAGAGGAAAAGACTATACCAAGGGCTGTGGAGATTATATCCGAGTTTTTCAGTATTTAACACCCACACAAATGGTCAATTTTTTTATAAAACCGCATATTTGTATACGCCTGCCAATCAAAATTCTAAAGTTCAAAACAAACCTGAAACAAAGAGCGTTTATCTCAATATTTGTACGTTTTAAAAATAAGCAAGCGAAACATTTGGGCGAAACCGTCAATTATTATGATAATACAATCATACCGTATGATTAATCGCATATAAACATATTCAAATTTAAATGTGTGAAGTAACTGAACACCGAAATTTCCTATAGCAACGACCTTTTCATAAACAACAAGAGAAATGAACCTGTAAATACAGCAGTGAATATCTTTATGTAGTCTGGTTATTAAACCACTGGAACAAACTGTAATGCCCTGGATATCCTTTTTAGAGAATTTTTTTCTCAATTCTTTGTACTGGTAATTAAGAGTGTGACATTTATTATAGACAAAACAAAAGACCTAGAGAAGTTGTTTTGGAAATTTTCCTTGTATTTTGATTAGTTCTGGTAAATGCTTTACATTTTTTTAGAAAGAGTTACAAGCATAGCACGGTTTTTTTTAAAATGTTATCCAGATGAATGGTTAAGCAATATAGTTTTGTAACGAACACTTTTATTGCAGTGAAAAGTGTACAGTGCTCCTCACATTCATTTTACTTTGTTACATTATTATTATTACGCGGAGTGGATGAAAGAATTCTCATAATGACCAATATGATCAGGATTAGTTGAATAGATTTTACACAATCATTTGCTAACTCTACAATTTTTTCGGTATCAGACGCACTTGCTTTGCAAGTATAAGATAAATATTCTGATTGTCAGATTAATGAATATGAAGCTTACACAATAATTAAGGGTCGTATTACATATGACCCCATATATATATATATATATAAAAACTATAAATGACCTTTTAAGAATTGTCGATTTTTTGGACAGTTCTATTCCTATGAAGCATAATACTTACGATAAAAAGAATAGTAGAAAGCCATGATGTGTACTTTTTGATTATAGCTACAGTCTTCAACCGGACGATTACGATAGAAAACGTTGATTATTCGACAAAAACACCTCATTGTCGTTAATCAACATTCTAAACATCTACTTTTATGTAGCATCAATCATAATCTTTTTTGTTTAGTTACTTTGATACGATTATTATCAAAAAATGGATTTGGTAAATATATTGGTAACACGAAGAATAAATTTCATGTTAAACAATTTGAATTATTATTATTATTCTGGTTAGCTTTTTTAAGCAAGGTTGTGTTCTACAGAATGGGGTTGCTGACCCCATGCGCAACACTCTTCCTTTACCCGAGCTTAGGATCGGCAATAGCCCTAGAAGAGCAACAGGTGGAGTTAAGCAATTCGAATAGTGAATAGAATTTTCTCAACTCATGTGTATAAAATAAATGTTATTCTTCTTGTGTTTATTTGTTAGAAAAATTTATGAAACAAAGAAAATTTTAAAATAATAGAAATGCATTTTCAATTACCAAACTTAAAATATCTTTACGAAAACAACTACCACCAAAGCCAAGACTAGCATTTAAAAAATATGGACCAATTCGATGATCTGCACCGATTGCTTTAGACACTTCTTTAATATCAGCATTTGTTTGTTCACATATAGCCGAGATAGCATTGATACTGCTAATACGTTGAGCAAGAAAAGCATTAGCTGCCTATGAATGAAATAATAATAATAATAATCATGAAAAGATTGAGCGCTAACAAACGACTGATGAATGTTAATGTTATATCCGAGCGAAGATTAAATTACAGGTAACTCCCGAGGACTATTAGTGGACTAATATTCTATAAATATTCTTATTGTAAAAACTATTCAATCATTAGATTATGTATATTTATATCCCTCTTATTATAAGCTTTATTTTGATCTATAATTTATTATTGTACGATTTACGGTTCTTAAACTATGTTCAGTCTATTAATTACTGTCCCCCTCGTTCACAGCCACTTTTTGGCTTATTTGTGTACATATGTTATTTCCTAATTTATGGTGTGTTGTGGTCTGTTTGTTTGATATATAAACCGAGTATGTTTGAAATAAACGATCTGCTCTGATTCGAAGCTGGTATTGTGTTCTGGACTCAAGTGGAAGGGCTCGTAGTATATAGGACCAATAAGGACGCTAGACTGCCCACACCGGTTGAACGTCATTGGTTGGCCTAGTGTGAAGCTTCGTATAAGTCGTATCCGGATTGGTAGATAGGTCGCGTGATTGCAAAACCAGACATACCCAAGGTCATAACAGTTAAGGTTGATTTTTGAAATTTGAAATTGTCATATCAAATGAATTCAGTATCTATGTGCCCAATTAAATGGATAACTGATATATTGAGTACATTACTAATAAATTAGGTTATGCCAACGAATCCAATACCAATAGGATATGTTAGCGTTGATATGCCGAGGCTAATTCTTTCTGCCATTAGCCTGTTCAATTAGAACACGGAAAACGTTAGCCAATTTACTCTATGTATATTATGACTCAAGGGTTACATGATAATATACATCAATTATAAGGCCACAATACACCATAAATAGAAAGTCTTAATCTGTACGTAACTACGACATTTGTGGTACAAAACTAAGTAACGGGTATATGGTTAATTAATTTACAGACAGTACAAGATACATACATATTATTTTGCTCGTGTTACATATATTCTTCTAATGATCAATTTGTTAGTCAGATATTATCATCATAGAACTAAGCATATATATATCCGTAAGCCCAAGTACGACAAGATAAAATTGACAAGATGAATGCCAAAAGAGTCAGAACAATGTATTGTGAATGATAGTGAATAAAACCTAAACATCGAGAATATGATTAGAAAAAAAGGCTGAAAAGATATATACGAAGGAATATTGAAACTGAAGATCTAGAGCAAGATAAGAAGTGAAACCATGACCAATTTCAGCACACAAAAATACAAGTTCAAAAAAGTGTGAATGATCTCAAATTTACTACTCCAAAATAATTTTATGCATGATTTATTCGTGAAACATATAACCGAAAAGGACATCAGAAAACAAATAAAGATGCACAGATATATGCTTATCTTTCTAGAATAATAATCTATTGGAAATAAATTCTCACCGTTGAAATTATGAACTAATCATAGCTATACCACCATTGAAAACCCGAAAACACTGGACAGCTGTTTCAACCCAGTAAAGGAACCCGCAGCAGTGTGCGTCTATGACCTCGCATTCAGGAACCTCCGGTCGCACGCGCGAACACTTAAACTCTAGACCACTGAGCTGGCCCAACGGTGTTAGTGTCTATGATCTTACTCAACCTTTCATTGATTGCCACAGATTGAACTCTACTGATCATGACTTCTCACTAGAACTCCAGGAGTAACATTTTAAAGCCGGTCAATAGTGAACATATGATTGTTATGAAAATAAATTACCAATTTAGATAATTCCGATGACCACGTCGATGTAATAAGTATACGTTCTGCTGGTACCCAATGTAAATATATCCAACGTAACATTTCAATTGCTAATTTACCAGATGACGAATGTGAATCACCACCAATAAGAATACGATCTGGATTACATAAATCATTGACAGCAGTACCTTCAGCTAGAAATTCCGGATTCGATAAGACTACAAATTCATTAAGCTTTTGTGTATAATCAATAAAAATAAAGAAAACAAACCCATAATAAATTCAATATATAATTAAAATTTAAAACAATGATAAATTAAAAAGTCGATAATATAGAAATAAAGTTTATAAAAACGAAGTTTAGAAGAAATAGTGAGACAAGATTTAGCATTTTAAATTTAATTGAACCGGTTGAAAGAGGAAAACAAAATGCTGTAACTATAATTCATTTTTGTATTGGTTGCTTGAATTGAATTTGATTTACGTGTCTTATACACGTTCCGACATTTCTCCGGACTAAGTACAGTACATTTCCGATCCGACCTTCTATGACAGCTGGTTCCCACTTCCTCTTACCTTGATACGACTTGACAGGTACCCTTTCACCCACCTGGAAGCTACGAGTGACCGTACGATACTCATTCATGGGTTTATTTGTCTTTCTGGGCGGCAATATACTGTTAAAGACTGTCCGGATTTTCCTTCCGAACATACACTCGGCTGGTGACTTTCCTTCTGGTTTGCCGGATTAGGAGTAACTCTGTAGGACATTAGGAATTTACTGGTCACTTGTCCTGAGATACCCTCACCCCCCCCCCCTTTGATCAGAGCTCTTGTTATCGTATCCACGAATCTTTCTGCTTGGCCAATCGACTAAGGATGGTACGGAAGAGATTTTCGATGCGATATGCCATTTTCACTGCAAAAGCGTTTGAAAGCGGATGACATAAAGTGAGTGCCGTTGTCAGTCACTAAGATCTTTGAAACCCCATAACAAACAGACAATCCTGCCAGTCTACTTATTGTACTCTCTGAAGTCGTTTTCGACATGTCATATACTTCTGGCAATTTTGTGAAAGCATCGACAACAACTAAGTAATTTCTGCCTTGCATTGGTCTGGCGAAGTCAGCGTGTATTCTTTGCCAAGACCCATCCGGCTTTGGCCATGGTTGTGGTTTAGCTTTCTTTGGATTCTTTGCAGCTTCTAGACAGGACCAACAACTGCGACATTTTTGTTCTATATCATGGTCCATTGACGGCCAGTATGCATAGCTCCGAGTCAGTGATTTCATTTTACTTATCCCCGGGTACCCGCTGTGGAACTGCTTAAGGACTTGGTTTCGAAGATTTCTGGGGATAACGATACGGTGGCCAAACATTATGCACGAGTCGAAAACTGTCAAAGAACCTCTTCGGCGAAAATATTGTAACGGCTCTCCATGTAGTCTAGATGAAGGCCACTTGTTGAGTATGCAGCTGCGAACGACCTTCAACGCATTATCCTTCTTGCTAGCTTCTTTAATGACTTCGAATGTGACCGGAAGTCAGTAAACTGCGTCTGCTAATACTGTGTGAACCTCAGCCTCAACGTCCATGGCAGCTAGAAGTGCCTCTTCCTGTTTTGCATGGAAACCAATCAATCTTGAGAGGGCATCTGCCTGTCTAAAACCCGTTGTCGGTTGATACTTTATCTTGAAATCATAGCGCAACAGTGTATTTGCTCATCGCTGTAGACGGTTTGCTGTATATACAGGGATAATTTTTTGGGATCCAAAAGCCGTCAGTAGCGGTTTATGGTCTGTTAGTAAGGTGAACTCTCAGCCAAAAAGCATCTTGTGGAAGTTTTTTACAGCGAATATAATGGAAAGGGCTTCTTTCTCTATCTGACTGCAGTTCCTTTCTGTCATAGACAGCGATCGTGCAGCGTGAGCGATTGCCTTCTCAGACCCGTCAGTGTAGGTATGTGAAATTACTGCTCCGATTCCGTAGTTTGATGCATCTGTTGCGACTATAATTGGAAGATCTGGATCGTAGTGTGTAAGTAGAAGGTTTGATGATAGGAGCTGTTTTAGTTTTAGGTATGCTTCTTGGCATTCGGTTGACCAGAACCACTTGGTATCCTTTCTCAGTAAGCAATTAAGAGGAGCACGAAGGCGATGCAGATCTGGTAGAAAAACGCCATAATGACTAACCATTCCCAAGAAAGAACGTAAAGTTGATACATCAGTCGCTGGAGGCATGGACTTGATAGCCTCGACCTTTTCAGGATCAGGTTTTCTTCCGTTTTTATCGATCATGAATTCCGAATAGCGAACTTGCTCCATGTAGAAATCACAGTTTTCAGCACTTCATCTCAACCCATAATCTGCTATGCGTCTAAGAACCGTATCCACCTTATTCTTTATGTCAGCATAGTCTGTACCTATGATCAGTATTTCATCGAGATAGGCCGCAGTACCAGGGATATCTTATAACATAATGTCCATATCTTGTTCGAAGATTGAAGGGGTGGTCTTTACTCCAGACGGAAGTCTGTTACATCGAAACAACCCCTTATGAGTGTTTATTGTCAAGTAATACTTACACGCTTCCGTTAGTGGAATTGGTAAATAAGCTTCCGATAAGTCCACTTTTGCAAAATACTTGCCCACATTCAGTTTCGAAAGTAATTCTAGTAACGACAAAGAGCATTGATGGGCTTAAAGTGATTCGTTTAATCCAGTCGAATAATCTGCGCATAGCCGGATACTTAAATTTGGCTTTTTGACAATCACTATTGATGCTTCCCAGTCACAAAAGTTTGCTGGTTCTATTATTCCACTTCTTTGCAGACGCTCCAACTCTTGTTTAACAATAGGCAGCATTGCTAAGGGTACCGGACGTTTTGGTCTAAAAACAGGAGTGACTCCCTGTTAAAGACTTAGTACTGCTTTTACCTTGTCGCACTCCCCCAGTTCTTCCGTAAACACATTACTATTTCTTCACAACACAACATACCCGAGATTCTTTTCCGCTGGTTTATTGATTCTAAGAGAGCTGCATATGCGGTTAATGGAGTGATGTGCTAATTGCAGTGTTTCTATTAGTTAAAGACTCAGCAAATCTAGTCCTGGATTATGTGTGATATATAGCATTGCATATGTTAACGCATTTCCTTTCACAACTCTACAACAAAGCTCCTCAACAACGTATTCAAGGTCGACCTAGAGAAGTTTGATGATGCCGCAAAGGTCAGAATATTGCTACTCAGTCATCGTCGTTGAACAACGATGACTGTTCACCGAAAATTTGTGACAATGTTACGACCGTCGCATCAAATGAAAGGTCTCTTGGGTTCTTAGGGAGAATGAAATTGGTTTAGCGCTCATGTTCAGTTGTGCCAAGTTTGAGTAGCAATATTCTGACCTTTGCGGCATCATCAAACTTCTCCAGGTCGACCTTGAATACGTCTTCGTATTTCTTGAACCATGATTCAAATGTGACACCAGCCAAACCATCAAAATGAAATTCATGGATAGAATTAATAATGTGGTCAGCATGAGATTTGGAAGGATCATCTATAAACCCCTTCTGATTTGGGTTAATTTTCTGGGTTAGAGTCTCTATAATACGAATCTGGAACTGTTTGAAACATTTTTCTTGCCGCTCCAGCAAGGCTTCAAATTGGTCAATGGTAAATGACATCTTGATAAGTTAACTGCGTCGCCAGTTGTTATGTCTTAAGGTGCTTATATTCTTGATATGACGCGTATAACTTGAGCACTTGAACGCTAAAACCCTTCCAAATCACAATGAGAAGACAGAAGACTAGTGAAAGGAATGTTAATTCAGACATTGTCAAATTAAATTACAAACCGTCAGGTATTTATAGATCTTAGTAAAAACGAAATCATCATTTTAGCTATCCGATCCGCACACAGGGGCTTATCAACATTGTCGGAACGTGTATAAGACACATAAATCAAATTCAAAGGGACGGCAGAACATTGGTCCCATAAAGCCGACTCCCGTTTCAATTGCTTGTGGATTCATCTAGAAAACGGTCGTAACTTTGTCACAAATTTTCGGTGAACAGTCATCGTTGTTCAATATTCGTTACCAATGTCTGAAGTTGACTAAAGCTGGAGACGATGACTGGGTACAACATGCTGGCAGAGTAAATCGCGAGTGTGAGCGCTTCAAATTATCAGCAATGACAGAACAGTTCAAGTGTCTTGTTTTTGTATGCAGCTTGCAGTCACCTGAAGATGCCAACATCAGAACCAGAATTCTGAGCAAAATTGAACAGTGTCCAAATATAACACAACAATAAGTGACTAGTGGGTGTCAGAGGTCGGTGAATCCAAAACATGACCCTTCTATGGTTGAAAACAGTGGCCGGTCATCATATGTGCAGGTAATAAATGGCCAGAAAGATTCTCTAGTACGTAAGAAGTACATTTCAAACAACCAGCCCTCATCTCCATGCTGGTCATATGGAGGTTGGCATTATAAGAGGTTTTGCCCATATAAAGAATATTATTGCAGTAAATGTCATCGTAAGGGCCACAAATAAACAAGCTGCAGGAAAAGAACCCATAAATGATATTCTTCGAAACCCTACCTCAAGAAATACAGATCTAGTGCACTAACTAAGAAAATATTGGTATCACATAACCAAGCACAAATTTACCGCCAACGAAAGTGTGTAGATTTAGAGATAGATAAACAGCGTGCCCGCCTGCAGCTCGACGCTGCTTCCGATATCACACTTATTAGTCAAAGAACTTGGGAGCATATCGGAAAACCTCAGGTGCTCCCAACAACCCAGTCAGCTCATAGCGCATCTGGAAGGAAATTTAATATTTGAGACGTTTGTTTGTTGAAAATGTGTCGGAAAATATTGACAAGTTATAACAATTGGCGATTTGGTGAAAAAAATTCGGAACCCTCAATCTTCAAATTAATGAATTAAAGTCAGTCTGTCATTGGACAAAATTCAATGCAATTATTTCGAGTAATCAGCATACAGGGTTCTCGCCGGTGTCCTTCAACGACATTGATTGTTAATTAGTAATACAGTATTTTTCATTATCGTGCTCATTCAGAAAATGGCTATCTCTTCCAATCAATTACAGTTGCTATTTGATCGACAACGGCAGCGTTTCAAAAAGAGCCAGTTGACTGTTTTAGACAATTTACGCACACGGCTGCTAAATCATCCATGTTTCGGAGATGTGACAGAAGTTGATAAATTAATTTCTACTTTGCGTAAAGAGCTGGAAAATGACTGCAGAACCTATGAACGTGACGATGAAAGCCTCCATGAATCCTTGATGAGCGGTAATGTAAACGAAGTAGTAGCAGTCATTCATAATCCGCCCAGTGGTCCAGAAATGGCCATTTCAAAGACATGCCCTGTCGTGTGTTCAAATCTCATTGCCCCTGAAACACCATGTACAAACACTGACTTGTCCAACTTACAGAAATTCGACATCTTATTAAATGTTCATGAAATTATTGCAGTACCCGCCCAAGAAGAAACAGAAAATGAATCAAGCAACATAATGAAGACAATTGCATTAAATTGAGCTCATCATTCTACGACAAAAGTTTCTGATGAATATACGTATCAGGGTTCTCTAGTTGTTTTACCAGATATGAGTTATCTTAATGACTTACATGCTTTTGATCAAATTTCTTACAGAAATGAAAGAAATTTGTTGGACGTATCAAATGATGATCGAGAACCTAATGAAATTTTGATAGGTGCTGATTATTCTAGAGACAAATTATCTACTAATGAGATTTTCGAGAGATTTGATGAAAATGTTCCACAAGAATCAAACGTTAATGACCTCACATCTAGTGTCGCTGATCCTTACCATCAAGTCATTTCTAGTAGACTCCCTATTCAATGCGGCAACTATGTTTTAAATATGGTCAAACTAACTGTAACTTGGGAATATGAGGACTCAACATTATTCTGTGGGGGAGGATAAAGTCATAAAATTTAAAGTCAAGATCTAAACTTTGAGACTTCAAAAAAAAGAAGGAAAGGTGAGATAATGGGAAGAAAAATCAATTTTCTATCGAGTTTTGTTCAACATTACTTCCGTTCTGATTCAATGTGATGATCATTCAGTGTAATATTCAGTTTTCTTTTCTCGTATGATATTTTATTCCGCATAGTATACGATATTCTTCTATTCAATTTACATGAACTATGCTCAGTATATGATTTGTTATAACTCTAAGTATTTTTCATATATGTTATTTCATCCTAATTATTAATGAAAATGGGTGTACAATCAATATATGAGTGTGCTTTCGACTAAGGTCATCGTCGTGTTTTGGGGTTAATAAACATTCACTTATGCCAGTCTTTGTGTCCTTACTTTCGCGTCGTGGGAATTGAGGAGGTCCCTGTTCCGAGTATAAGTGATAAGCGTTTCCGACACAACAATGAGCAACGACCTGATACAACAAGCAGCATTCAACTGACAAGCCATATCAATTGGCGACGGGGATTTCGGAAAAATTGACAAGTTATAACAATATAACACACATATATTTCAATGGGGAATACGAGTGCAATATTTAGCAATTTTTTTTCATTTACTGAGTGAGTGTTGTATATAAAACCATAATTTTCACTGGAGAATTCATTTCACGCTACAATTCACACCGTACTTGCTTTTTTATTCCGGGAAGTTAAGAAGCACTACAGTATCGTTTTCATAGGAAAAATATACATAGACAGCTTCAGATGATTGAAATAAAATTTCCAGTGAGAACTATAGTTTTATGTGCAATAATGACCCTTTGATTGAACAGAAGAATGTCATTTCAGTAAATTGGACAAAAAAATAGAAGTAAAAAATGAAAAGTAAAATGGAATGAAATAATGTATACTTACCTTATTATCACTATTATTAGTTGTTATTGTAAGACTGGATATGTTACGACGAGACCTAGCTTCAAATTGAAGTATGGTACTTGTAGTCTCTGCTGCTTTCACCGGTACAGTACTTTTTTCAACTATAACCTTGGGTTGTCGTGATACTTTAGCTATACGTCGAGCTGCAGCCTCCAAGTTAGTCAGATCAGTTGCTCTACCCTAAAAGAATGTGAATATCATACATACAAGGGTATACGCATCTTTATTTTTGTAAATTATTTATATGCAATAGTCAATCACATTAACATAGACAACGTATAACCTGATACACACATGTATAAAAAGAAGACATAGTTCGAAACAGGACGGCGAAAATTAACATGAGAAGCATATATGAAAAGAAAAGGCAATGAAAGGTTAAATGTAGACAAGAAAGTTCAGGAACGAATGAGATCGACAAATGAAAATTATTCAACACTAGACTCAGTGTCTAAAGTAATGAAAACAATGAATGCATCTATGCGATTGTAGCCTATTTAGGCCATATCGCTTAATATCTCGAACAACAGGCTATGATTATTTGAAGGTCTATTATTATTATCACGAGTTCATTTTATTAATTGCATTAAATAGGAAAGATTATTTATCATTTTGATAGAAAATAAATGAACAATAAAATAATTTGTTAAGATTTAGTCAACATCCCGGTCAGATGACAACTTGATTGAATATCTGGGATACCTGTTCCTGCCATCTAGATATCTGTGTTTTTTTTGTTTTAACAAACCATTATGTTTATTAATCATATAACCTATTCAGGTGTGCTTATGGAAAGTTTACGACCATCCACTGAACATGTTACAAAAATGCCAAATCAGAGACATCGTGGTTGATGACAATATGCATAGAAAAGAATGTACACTATTCAGATGTCAATTCCTGAACTGTTAACTCCTAACTGATGACCATTCAATATTTATCATCAGGATCGATCAACAAATAAGAAACTGAAACTTTTTTAAAATACTTTATGCTGAGAATTCTATATTGTACCAAAAATATAATATTGAATAAAGCCACTAATAATAATGATAATAAAATCTACTATTTTTAACTTACAATACATATACTAATTCATTCAACCTGAATGTTTATATACAGATTCTATTATTTTATCTAATGTAAAATATTAAAACCATGTATCGTGAAAAAATCGTTATCGTTACAAACAATTGTTTGCTTAACCATCTATTACTCTTGTTTTTGTTTTAGTATAGCAAAGTACATTATTTTTTTCTTTTATGAACAACAAACTAGGGTCATGCGGAATAATAAAAGTAAACAGTATTATTGATCATTATTATTATTATTTCTATTATTGTTAGTACTATTATCATGAATTCATTGGATCGTTTGTAATAATTCAATGTTATCATAACCATACAAAACAATATTATTATACCTATTCATAGTATAAACAAATATTTCTGTAGAAATACTATTTTAATGATAGATAAATATTTAATAGAAATTAGGAATTGTTATTCAATATAATTTATAACAGAATTTAAAGTTCACAACTATAATTCTTATTATTAATTAAAAAATGATCTTGATAATAAGGCTTTATATATATATGTTACAAGAATTTCATATTGTTTAAATGATTTCTTCTAATCAGACTTATTCTTTCAGATGAATATGACACTATTATTATTATATAGGATATGATTCTAAACGTTTAATGTCATAATGATTAATTGGAATATCATTTGCAGAATAGTTATTTTTGTATGTTTGAATAATTCATATAACACAGCATGTAACAATCAAATAACACATGACGGAGAAGATTTGGAAGATGGAAAAACCTTTACATATTTGGGCAGCATCATTGATGAACACAGTGGATCTGATGCAGATGTGAAGGCACGCATCGGCAGAGCAAGACCAGCATATTTACAACTGAAGAATATCTCAAACTCAAAACAACTGTCTATCAACCAACACTAAGGTCAGAATTTTCAATACAAATGTCACGACAGTTCTACTCTATGGAGTGGAAACCTGGACAACTACGAAAGCTATCATCCAGAAGATACAAGTATTTATTAACAGTTGTCTGCGTAAAGTACTTCGGATCCGTTGGCCGGACACTACAATCAGCAACAACCTAATGTGGAAGAGAACAAACCAGATCTCACTGGAGGAAGAAATCAAGAAGAATTGCTGGAAGTGGATAGGACATACATTGAGGAACGCACTCAACTGCGTCACAAGACAACCAATCACATGGAATCCTCAAGGCCAAATGAAAAGAGGAGGACCAAAGAGCACATTACGCCGGGAAATGGAGATAGACATGAGAAAAATGAACAAATATTGGATGGAACTAGAAAGGAAGGCTCAGGACAGAATGAGTTGGAGAATGCTGGTTGGCGGCCTATGCTCCATTGAGAGTAACAGGTGTAAGTAAGTGAGTAAGCATTTTTGTATGTGTTTTTTTAATTTTTCCATCCCATCTTAAAAACTTTTTTTCATTCCGGTAATTATTAGTTATTAATTTTTGAAAAGTGATAACAAATGTAAATATTCCTCCAGTAATCATTTTTTCTACAAATTATGAACGTAAATAACTTACAAATTACTAGCTATTTTGTTCTAAATGTTGTCACAAATACTGATAATGTGTTTTTGAGTATGTTGTATCTGATAGCATTCCAATCAATTGAAGCGTTAAAGAATGTCATTGGAAATTATGAATGGGAGATATGCTGTTATTATATGGTACATAATTCTCATTTGCATAAGAATCAGAAACTGTACATAATTAACAAATTATTATGGGCAACAAAATGTTTGTTCATAAACATATGAATACACATTTTCGAAATGAAGTTAACCTATTAGTTGTTTTTATGTTTTTCTAAATATACCCAAAAAAAATTTTCATTATCATAAGTTAGAAATTACAATAACCGTGTAAGAAATGTCAGCCGATTAGTTGTGAATACAAACTCTTATGATAATGATAATGATCAATACATTAAATATTGATAGGGTCAGTAGATCATAATATAACAAACTCAAGTGAAACTAATTTCAAAGTAATAGTTATATACACATCCATGAATAATCTAAGTAGATGTGTTATGTACAACAGGCGATAATGCCATTAGAAAATTTAAAGTCTATTTTACAAGTATTTATAATCATTTTAATAATAATCTGAAAATTAGCGTAGGTTATTGACCTCGGTTAATTTTTATCCTTGACCTAGCGTAGAATTATGCGATCTACATGTAATAGTAAAAACAATGCTAAAATCGAAAATTCACAAAAATCAATAATCAATATACGAGTGGAACATATAATATAACAATACTCAATGATACAGTAACTGCTGCGAAACATTCCAAATTGAAAATAAGGAGAAAAATAAGATAAGAAACTAGTTTTCAACGAATTTATCATTTCAATTGGCACATTTGTACATATAGATGGTTTTTAAGGACATTACTTGTGCAATTGATTTTAAAGAGATGTCAAATGTACGACAATTCTAAATTTTGTGCTCTGTGTCTCTTTTATGTATCCCTATCTACATCTAACAGATATTTTCTGGAAATTCTTAATTTGTCCGAGCTTTTCTACATATTAATAATTTTACAGAACCATTACATTTTCGTTCCGACAAAACATGGAGGAAGTGAGATTCTAAATTTGTCTCTGAATCTACTGTGAGTGTAATCGATATGTAGCAGTTACTCAACTCTTGTAGTACAGCATTTAGTTTGTTGTTATCATTACAAATGATGGTGTCATCTATGAGTCTTATGTATAAACAGGATTTAAAGATTACTTGCCGAACTACATTATTTTCTAAGTTGGCTATGAAACAATCGGCTAGAAAACGACTCAGTGATTACTCTATTTCAATGCTTTAGGTTTGCCCATAAGTTCCATAGTTAATTTTGAAATGCAAGTTGAGTGAAAAGTATGAGTAGTTTCTTTGGATGTTGTGGGATACTTTTTTCAAGGTTACTATCTTCATTATGATCACACGGAAAGCAGATATCCAAATATAGCATTCTCTTTGTGAATACATTAATGTTGGTTTTTGAATAAGTGATGTCGCGAGAATCAGGGGCTGCGTCTACTGATTTGATTTCTAATCGTTTGCACGATTTATACCGATTATTAGATAATTTTGTGTATCATCGCGAGTTCTTCATACCAACTGGAAGAATATCTTTTTTATGTACTTTTAAAATTCATTGCAATTGTAGTCCATCAGGGGTAGGTAGTTGACCACAAAGTTTCATAAAAAATATCCTACAAAATTAGAAGAGCCGACTCAAATGAAATATGCATCAGAAAAGTGTGCGCAGTACAGGCTCTACATGTTCGTCAATTTAAGTCTGATTCTTGTATTAAAAAACAATATGTTTATAGAGAAAAAGCAAAGTTGGTTCCATTCGTGTACGATTTACTTACCTTACCGAGGCCCCAATTTTTTGTTGGGGTATTCACAGAGATAAAAATCATTTCAGCTTCATCTATTGCTTTGTCAATATCCGAAGAAAAGTGTAGATTTTTTCCACGGTGTAATTTAACAATCTCGTCTAATCCCGGCTAAATACAATTTTTTGAAAAGAAGAAGCATATCAGATAAAATATGAAACAAAAAAAAACAATTTATGAGGAAAAATCAGATTGCATTTAGTTGAGAACCATGACTTTAATAGTAGTTTTGTTGTAGCTTGTGGCCCTGTCACGTGACAATATCGTCAATAAAAACGCCGACTTACATGACCTTTTCCCCGTGCTAAACCCACTGTGTGATAACCAGCACGAGTAGCTTAGGGTCAACTCTTAATCTTTACTGTTCCTCTGTATGGCAACTTCTCACCCAGCCCAGCCTGTTCAGTTCATAACACAAATATTATCCTCTGCTTTGTGAATCGTATACTTAAGACACACGTGGTTTATATACAAGCAGACCAGACCGCATCACATTATAAAATGAGAAATGATAATTAAACAAGACAAATACAAGTCAAAAGTGGCTGTGATTATTGTGCACTGTTACTAATAAATTGCGAATAAATTAAGAATGGTTAATCATATAACAGTAGAGAATAGGTCAAACGAAGGGTGATGAAATATATATACATATATACATGAGTTATTGTATTTCACTATAACTACCAACGACTACAATGAAGGCATTAATGATCAATTCTACGATAGGCTGCAGTCAGTCGTCGAGAAGTCTTCAACAAAGAGCTTGACCATTCTGATGAGAGACCTAAATGCTAGGGTTGGAATGGAAAACATCGGATATGAAGAAATCATGAGACGATATAAGCTAGTATAATGAAACGAAAACGGTGGGATAAAGAACAAGTACCAACAGAATGGAAAGAAGGACATCTGATCAAGATATCAAAGAAAGGCGATCTCAGCAAGTGTGAGAACTAAAGAGGCACCACTCTTCTCTCAATACCAGGAAAAGTCTTCAACAGGGAATTGTTAAACACAATGAAGGACTCCGTAAACGTCCAACTTCGAGATCAGCAGGCTGGATTCCGTTAAGGATCGATCGTGTACAGACCAAACCGCAACTTTACGGTTCATTGTGGAACAATCAATTGAATGGAATTCATCAATCTACATCAACTTCATTGACTACGAGAAAGCATTTGATAGCGTGGAAAGAACAACACTATGGCGTGTCTGAGAAGATAGTCAATATCATACGGAATTCCTATGATGGATTTAACTGCAAAATCGTGCATGGAAGACAGCTGACAGACTCGTTCAAAATAAAGACCGGTGTCAGGCAAGGTTGCTTACTCTCACCCTTTCTATTTCTCCTGGTGATCGACTGGATCATGAAGACGTCAACATCTGAAGGGAAACACGAGATACAGTGGATAGCTAGGATGCAGTTGGTCTGGCTCCGCTATTACACACGCAACAATAAATGCAGGGGGGAGACGACCAGTGTACCAGCAGTACGTCTCAACATACACAAAGGGAAAATAAAGATTCTTCGATACAACACAGCATGTAACAATCAAATCACACCTGTCGAAGAAGATTTGGAAGATGGAAAAACCTTTACATATTTGGGCAGCATCATTGATTAACACAGTGGATCTGATGCAGATGTGAAGGCGCGCATCGGCAGAGCAAGACCAGCATATTTATAACTGAAGAACATCTCAAACTCAAAACAACTGTCTATCAACCAACACCAAGGTCAGAATTTTCAATACAAATATCACGACAGTTCTACTCTATGGAGTGGAAACCTGGACAACTACGAAAGCTATCATCCAGAAGATACAAGTATTTATTAACAGTTGTCTGCGTAAAGTACTTCGGATCCGTTGGCCGGACACTACAATCAGCAACAACCTAATGTGGAAGAGAACAAACCAGATCTCACTGGAGGAAGAAATCAAGAAGAATTGCTGGAAGTGGATAGGACGCACATTGAGGAACGCACTCAACTGCGTCACAAGACAAGCACTCACATGGAATCCTCAAGGCCAAATGAAAAGAGGAGGACCAAAGAACACATTACGCCGGGAAATGGAGATAGACATGAGAAAAATGAACAAAAATTGGATGGAACTAGAAAAGAAGGCTCAGGACAGAATGAGTTGGAGAATGCTGGTCGGTGGCCTATGTTCTATTGGGAGTAACAGGCTTAAGTATGTCTTATCTGAACGTCGTCATATACCTGAGAAGTTTACGCCTGTTCACAAAGGTCCCAATTTATCGTTCGGGGAGTTTCATGCACAAAATATGTAATAATAACCCATAAATAATTCCTAGCAGCTACCGTTTATTTATCGGTCGTTCAGATATAACAGGTCTAATTCGATTTTACCCTTTTTATAACAGTTCCAGATTGAATATTGACTAATAGCTTAAACAACATCATAGTTCGATAAGAGAAATATTTTAAAAAATCATACAAAAACTTGTGTTATAATTGATTAACTTAAAAAAATGATTTTTTTTCGTGAAAATTTATGTCCAGTGTAAAATTGAAATAAAAAATTGTAATTTGAGCTATCGTATTTACAATCAAATGGAGACAGGTTAACAATACAACTTTACTGTTGTTGTCTAACTGATCCCAGTTATTGCTAAGTGGGTACTTTAAAACCATGCCAACTTACCACATAATCAACTGGCATTAGAAATTACTGGATGCATACCAGCATTGAGATTAATTATCCTAACATCTAATGATAAATGATAACATTTAAAGTCACCCATGATAAAGGTGATAACATTCGATAACGGTTGATTAGAATTAGAAATATATAGATCACTAGATTCTGATTAAGTGATTTAAATGTATTGTACTCATTGTGAAACTCTAAAACCCAAATTTTAATATTAGTGGATGCATATTACTGAGATGTTTAAAATAAACACGAAGAAACTAAATACTTGGTAGTCTCAATTTTCAAGATTATTCAGTTGCTGTCAATTAATGCATATAAAATAATTTACAATATATACCACTTTATTTACAGTTATCGTATGATATTATTAAAAAGATTAATAGAAAAGACTCTTAAGCCAAATAATGTTTTTTACATGCGATTAATGAATCCAATGATTAAAATCAAAGAAGTTTAAAGTACAAAATAATAATAATACTTATTATTCTTATTATTACTATAGGGTCAATATTTAATATTTACATTTTTCTACTTTGACCAAAAAAATCTTCCAAGTAATCGGATGATAATCAGTTGCAGTCTGTTCAGAGATAATAGTAATCGTATAACCAAAGTAAAAGAAATCATTCTATCGGGTAAACTATACGTGCTCATACTGATTAAATTGCCCCATAAATACAAATTTAACGCTTGGACTGAAAACTAACGAATTCAAAAAGTAATAGATCTAGCTTTTTCAAAGGATTTTAGACGAAAATAGGTGAACAGATAATAAAAGCTACAAAGGCTTACATAACTGGTTTGTCAATTTTTGGGTCACAAAGTAAATGACGTCATTAATTTCCGATATTAATTTGTGAAATAATGGAATCTTTAAGATTCTAAACCTAATATTCATAAATAATAACAGATGTTTATTTTCATATGATGGTCAGACTACCCTCAGACAATATCAACCCGATAATGTATTCGTTTAGATTAAAGTCACTTTGAAAAAAAAATGCCAGCAAAAGTTATTTGATGTTAGTCTTCATTTAGAAAGGCCGTCAACTGAAGAAACATTAAACACTTGAGAGCACTAGGAAGCTGTTTCAGCCACAGCATAGATTGAATCCTAAACTATATGTTTCGTAACAAACACCAGTATAGAACGAAACAATTATCCACCGTCCCCAAGTTTTTAGTAGCTTTCCACCCGGTCTAACAATTTATGGTGTAAATTAACTATAAAACGAATAATCGACGGAAAATTATTTAGTAATTAAATGTTCTTGGACATGTTCTACGAATGTTGTCTTAGAGAATTTCATGTGCATTATTTGCCGACGCTGGGACTGGTGAGAAAAAGCGGAGAGGTGGTCAATGTATAACATGGTGTCGTGGTACGAAAGGAAGCAGCAAACGACTCGTTTGTGTTAGTCCTTCACGACTCCCTGGCCATGTTGGTAGGTGTAGACTACCTGGCTGGGGACCGCGAGATGACAGCAACCGATGGTTAAAGACCCTGAATGACATGGCTCAAAATTGTTTGCAATGGCACAGGTGCATCCACTCTTTGTGTTCTCCCAAATTCTAATCTTCTGAATTTGTCATGTCCCTTTTTCCTCTTTCCTAATTTACTTCATTGTATTATATTCCTTGAATAACGTCTTCAAACCCTAATCCTTCCAATTACTGCCTATACTCTTACTACCTCTACCACTACGGGATTTGAATCGACAACTGCATCTCTGTGCTAATATGGTATGGCAACTCGAACTGATGTACGTATGTACGACTTTCTATATTGTTACTGACTGATTATGAAATTTAAATATACTTAACAAGGTATTAGACTTATATGAAAAATATCTGGAGCTATCCATGGATCAATCAATAAACAATGTTATTTACTCATTAAAATAAGATGATGTACGAAGCTGGATTGGTTTAATTTGCCACACCTTGCATTGGCACGCCAGGCAATCAACTAGATGAGAACCATAGGATGGGAAATAATACAAAGTGACATAAATCTAAGACCGACAATTACGCTTTGAAAGAAGCAAACGAAAAGATATTTAGAAGATAATTAGTGCATATAAACTACTTTGATTAGGTCTAGACAGTGTAACCTGTTTTTAATTAATGATTGCGAGCATCGTGTGGCCGTCAACCAAGAAAGTCGCACATTCTGGTGTGGATCAGACCAACAATTAGTAACTTTCCAGTTAGTACAATGTCCGAAATAAAAGTATCATTTACTCAGTGGTGATAAAAAAAATGTGTAAGTGATAAGCGTTCCCGACACAACGATCAGTGACGACCAGATATAACAATCAGCATTCAAACGGCAAAACATAAAATATATATTTGAATGTATATCAAAGTGGCAGAAATTATGGCAAAGGAACTATAACAATCGACTGAATGCCAACCCCGACCGTTAGTACCTTGAGGTGGTGGTTCAGTTTGCCAATCATGTCGAACCAGTCGGGCTATATTGGCTGGAACAATCGTTTCTCAAGGTCCTACCATCCCAGACAGGTTGGTTGAAGAGCGGAAAGACCAAGAGGAACAAACCCAAGGTTCGAGGATGAAGTCGTACTGTTGACTGCACAGTGTGATGGCAGTAAGGTGTTTCCTTCAGACATCCAACATAATAGCAACACTACCTTCCCACAAAAAGTGTGAGGTTAGACGTGCATTCCTTGCCTTATTCCACGGATTTCCGTCTACGGCGGTAAGGTCTGAAGAAGTACGGAGCTAACATGAAAATTACTCACAAAAAGGTCGTGTGTGACCGGCCTCAAGCAGTTATCCCTTGATCATTGCGATCACACTCTCAGGTCACTAAAGCCACCAATTTCCATTTTAGGTACCTCTAGAAGAACCCTTCCACGGTGTGGGCGATCGGGAGTCGAAAGTCTCCCTCAAACCTCTAACAGCACTCGAGACCACCGGTACATTGATATTGTCTATTTGTAATGTTTTGACGCCGAAAATTACCTAATAGAATAGTAATATCCCCCAAAATCCAGTTATATTAGTTTACATATAATTTTCGACTTTTTTTAATATTTCTTGTATTTGACGTCGTCTAAAATGACGACTCCCTGCACCAAACCAACGATGGACTCAAATAGAACATATTGCCATCAGTGATCGTTGGAGAAGCTCGACAGAAGACGACCACCCTTTCTGTAACACATGCTCAGACCCCAATCATGTCCTAAAACGAGTACGCATTTGCTTGCGCCTCAATGGACGCAGAAAAACCACATTAGAGTTGAACTTGGTGGAGAGAAAGCCTAAAGTAGATTCCAGAAACGACTGAGGTCACTTCTGAAAACGAGACTGACCCAGATGTTGCATAGAAAGATATAAAAACAGCTGCGCAAAGAACAGTGACATCTATTAGTGATTTAAACCAAAGAGTTACAAAAAAACCAATGGATTTCTTACGTCACCTATGGCGAAGGCGAGATATCCGTATATCAATTAAAGGACGAGTATACTGCGCAGCAATTAGTTCTGTTTCATTTTACAGCCGCGAAACATGGCCATTAAGAGTAGAAGATACTCGTATGTTACTAGTATTTGACCACAGATGCCTTAGAAATATTGCTGGCATCTGCTGGGATCACCAGGTAAGTAATAGTGAGGTTAGAGAATGATGGTAAATCAGTTGATGAGGTTGTGAATCTTCATCGACTGAGATGGTTGATCCACGTGTTACGCATGCCTGAACACCGATTACCACGACGAGTAATGCTGACTAGTATTGGAGACGGTTGGAAGTAAACCAAAACGTGCCATCAGTCCTTGAAGTCACTAACTTCTGGCCTGAGCCGTATTAGTAGATGCAGACTGCTTAGTTTGGATCCGCGCGACTATCATAACCAATGGTTTGAGACTCTTTGTGACATGTCTCAAAATCAATCACAATGGCATAGGTTTATACACTTTTTGTCTTCCATTAAAACGTGAGGTTAAAATTGCTTTATACCTTTCTTTCTATGAAACTGCTTTATCTTCCTGTATATACTTATATTCAGTCTTTCTTTTATATATTACTACCATTGAAGTAACCACCTATACTGATTTAGTTTTCATCTTGTTGTGCTAACAACTTGGACCGATACATATATGTGCCTGGTCCTACGTTGTAGCTGACTAACTGTATGCCAACAACATTGGTATTTTAGAGCTACAATCTCAGAGATAATTGCTGTATTCAAGTTAGTGATTATAAAATAAAACAGGAAGACTTGTTCACTAGATGTCTATCTTTTAATGATGCTTACTATATTTATGCACCTAAATGTAACGAGATTTGAGATATGTCAAACTATAAGTACGAAATATTACCTCATATATTGGCAGAGTATCTGAGTTCCACATCTTGATTTGTTCATCACAAGTATCAACAACAGTAACTTGAATCTCCGGACAGTAATGAGCTATAATTGAAAGTGTTGAACCTCCAACATAACCTGCACCAAGACAGCACACTTTTGACAGCATAACGTCCGGAATACAAACAACTGAAATGAATAAATTAGGAATAACTGATATTTAGTGGTAAAATAATTAGTCTCGTTTTTCTTGTCACAAGCAGAATATGATCTTATTAAACCTATGTGCAATGTTCTTAACGAGTAATCTGGGAAAATGTTGAACAAGCTTTCCCTCGGGTTATGCAAATATTTGTTTATGACTATTAGTCAACAATTCTTGACATAAGATATATGTTGTTAAGTAAACTTGAAGGATGGGAAAGACAGTGTAAGCAAAAATCTGGAAAAATAAGTTATAACTTCGACTGCTTCCTACGTATGATTCAGAACTGCTTGTACGATGATCAATAGCAGCACTACGTTGTCAGTATTTTGCTGTCAATTTCAACTTAACAATGACGCGTTATCTAATAATACCATATCCTCTACTTACGCGCAAACTATCACAACAACGCGCAAAATACGACTAATTTTTTTTACAATCCCCTAAATTATATTCACAAAAAGCATTTTGATCTAATATAATTTTGTTAAAACAATCCGACTCTTGGTAGCAATGTTTCGAAAGTATCTACAATTACTAATTCAATGAACAATAATTTTCCTAAGGAATGAACTAAATATGAGGTGATATAATGCAATATGTTTATATCCAAGAGCCAGGTAAGTACATTTACTCCACCACCCACCTTTCCCATCGTTCAGTTTTGAAGGATTAATACAAAAAACAAACCATGTATGGTTGCAGAAAATTGATCATATATGGGTTTTTATATATATATTAACTTGTTCATATTAGCATCCCTATCACCTTATACCAGTCCTAAAAAGAAACGCATAAAATGGGTAGATAAAGTGACAAGTTCATGGACCAGAGATTCATTAAGTAAAATTGACCGCTTCCAGGAGCCTAACCACAAAAACTGTTGTTAAAAATTGGTGCGCATCCAAATATTACTATAAAAGCTAGTGGTTTAAATGTACCCTAGCAGTAGAATAGTGGGAATATTGCTAAATAATTCTAAAAATAAATATCATAACAGACAAGAAAGGATGGCTATAACATTCCATGACAAGGAACAGGTGGGTAATGAGAAACCCAGAACATAACTGTGAAGATAATTCGTTGAAAAAATTTAATATTTTTGAGCCCTACGTTGTTGATTTTTGAGACTGGAAAGCGGTATATTACTTGCTATTTTTCATAAGAATAAACGAAATGTGCCACGAACTAAAAAATTATGTAGATGCATTTACATAGTGAGCACGCTAAGGTGCATGAAATTACTCACTATTATTGTTAGATCTTAAGTGAGTGTGTTTTGAAACGTTCACCAAGCAATAAACGCGATGGCGTTTAGAGTTTGGTTATAAAATGAACCGAAACGAAAGTAACTTACAAAACAACCTCTATACTTGGTGTGTCACAGCTATCACAGTTACTCTTGAAAACTTCGAACCACGCGGTGTCCTCTGGGGTCAAAGATAAACAGAATTTGAACTATTTCAAAACAATGAGTGTAAAACAGTTAATAAGCATGAGTTGCAGAAGCATTTACACTCAAACAATAAATATCATCACATTGAAAAATTGAATATAACACTGAGTTCATAAGAATAAAGATATTTCCAACTTGTTTTCCTACAAGATTGAAGTTTTAATTTTTTAAATAGTGAGTATGTCATTGGTTTATTCAAGACTGTTTGAGCGTCGTTATGAAAATGCCACATGATTTAGTGATTTTCGACGAGAAAGTTCGCGTCTTTAAAAACTCACGTGTCTTGGAAACAAAAATCTCTCTTCAATCTTCAAGAGTACGGACTGGAGGTCAATCAACTTTAATTCATCCTTTCTGTGTGTAATACAGTAATGATCCAATTTCACTCCGAATTTTTCAAAGAAGGTACTAATATTACGTGTTCTGGTAAAGATTTCCATTAAATTACTAGTCAATGAGAATAACAGAATTCTAGGCGTAAGCTATAAAGTACCTGGATATTGTGAACCAAGCCCCGTTCTTCGGAATAAGATTATAAAGTGAGAAATTATCTTTCTAGGGTGATCAACACCAAACTGAGAGTGATACTTATCGCCGTAGCAGTAATCGTCAACCGTAAAAACAAACTGAGCTAAGTGTGAACGTTAGCTTCAAACAGATGCCTGGTCATTCAATATTTAACAATTTGCTTGAATCATCTTCCAACCGTGGAAGTTTCAGGCATTCCATACTCTCCGTAAGAACCATGATTTGTAGGACCATTTGTGTAATCAGGGTCACCGTGATTTGGGACTAAAAACATCTGATCAACGTGCCGAGCAACGAAAATGAATAATTTGCTCCATGTAAAGGCAGATCATTTAGTAACAAACATCTGTGATTCAGGCAACTGTCAAAGAATATGCGAATCTTCGCTGTCGTCAGTTCAACATTACCTGAAAAGTGAAATGTGAACCATTTATTGAGAACTTTGGATGTTACCATTTCATTTCAGTCTGATTATCTATAATCTCATATTTTCTCTAGATATCGGAACATGCTGAGGATTTCCCTTCGAAAAGTGGTCAACTATATGATTGCCTAATATTTAATCCATTTGGGCACTCTGACGTTATCTCCAAACCACGATTCCTTGGCGAACATGTTTTTTATAATGATACAGATTCTTCTACTGTAAGTCATTTTACTTCACCTTAGGTTCATCGTGTTTGTTCTACTGTGTATTGGATGTAGACTGTATGATCTGGAATACGCTCATTATTATAAGAATTAACAACAGAAATTGGAAGAGACTCACTTGGCTCCTGGAATTGTATCTGATCAACAAGTCAGTTATGTGTACTTAACTCGTTCATAACTGAAATTCGTATCATAGATATTTCAACACATTTTCCTCCAAGAACTAATGTGGCGACTTACTCAGCTGGGTTGATATTTTATAAGATGTGAATGTGGATGGTTTTAGTAAAACTTGCATTATGAATATCACAGTTGACGCGCTTTATGAAGCTTGCGTAGAGACGTGCAACTAATATTCGAGGGGAAATATATTCAGCAACCTTGTCATCATTTGTAATATATATACAGTTGCCGGCAGAAAAGCCTGCGGAATTACAAAATAATGTCTTTTTATTGTTATTGAATATAACATCTGATAAAGGCATAGTGCCGGACTAAGAAGGCTATCAGGTTTGTGTGTGCGACCAAGTAGATATTTACAATTCAAATTATTTTCCATACCTGACGTATGGGTAACATATTCCAGAATTTTTTTTTATGGTTTGTGGTTTCGTTTACCTCCTTCGTAGTCAGAGGAGAATCGAGTGTTGTTAAGCATACTTGTGATGGTTCGAATATATCGACGTTAAGTGTATGGTCAGTTATATAAATGTTACTAGTTTTCCCGTTATCCTTTGCACAGGAATTGTACCTGGTTTTTGCAGTGACAGAGATTTGGATTGTTTTATCCCATTCGTCATCAGCACAACTACTGAGAATTAGGTCTAAGTCAGCATTATTAAGAGGATAGACACTATCTACAGCAGGATTAATTTTTTATTTGTTTTGAACTTTATGAGATTCGGGAGAGTTTATGAGCGATGGTATGTATGTAAAAGGTAGATGTCCTCTCAGAATCAGACTTAATTTTACAACCTTCAGGATTATGATGCGTTTGGGTGTTTGACGCAGGTGGTCTGTAACCTTCTCTTCTTTCTTTTCGCTGGCATGGTGTTCTATCTGGAAGAACCTTAATATCCTTGAAAATCTAAACAAGATCGATGAGTGCATAACAAGGTTGCTTCTTTTAAATTGTGTGCACACACATGGTACATTTGTCATATTGCCGGCTCTAGGCAAACTAGATTTCATATTTTTCAGGGTACTTGTTTCTGGTATATTAAACTGAATTTCTAGATTGTTACATTTTTTCAAAAAACTCTGAAGCAACACTAACTAGGAAATTAGTTATGTCATTCATTTGGTCTGGAGTCTGGAGGTTGGTGTGGATTGTAAAGGTCCACGTCAACTTGAAACTTTTTTACACCATTCATATGATTGCACTTGTGATTATCAACATTGTTTACCAATAGAGTCTTCAACATGCCCGGGATGGAGATAACTGCTGTTAGCTTGTCTGCTCACGGATGAACGGAGTAGCTCGTCTCGTTGGAACTGTTGAAAATCGTGTCGATAGTAGAGTTAGAATAGGTCATTTTCCTACGTTCGGCTAGACGTCTAGAAGCAGGGGCCTTCATTTTCTTATGTGTCATGATAAGAAAGTGATAAATAGCGGATGGACTGAACAAAATGTTGGGTATAGAGATGGGTGAAAAAATCAATGGTGAGAGCCCAAAATAGTTTATAAATCAAAACCTATGTTTAAAACAACAGTGAATGTATCGTGGCGATTAGTGAATCTGTCAACAAGAATAAGAAGGGAGAATGACAGGAAGATAGTAAAAGATATGCAGTATGTCAGTACACGTGTAGAGGCAGAATACGTCATAAAGGTGCACACAGTGTAAATTTTAACATATATATTACATGGAAAGTTAGCCTTCTATAATAAGGTAATTTAGAACTGCCGATAGTAAGCATCAAACAATCAAAGTTAGTACGGTATGTGGAACATATATAAACATAAAGTCTGCATTAGATAAAATTGGGTGTTCAGAGGTAAATGGTTCAAAAGATTATTACCGTCTAAGATTATTATGTTGCTTTATGACCAAATATATGAGACAGCTTTTTGGACAAAAATACTGACCAAAAACTATAACACACTCATCGAATTGGACAGGTTATTTCGGAAATTAAATGAGTTATAATATCCAGATACAATTTAGAGTGTAGTATATAAAATAGTGCATTCAGTGTTTTATCGTACACGATTACATGTATTTCTTGATACTAGGTATAGGTTTGAATAGATCTTGTAAGTACATAAATTACGTGGGTTACAACATCCAAACATGATAATAGGAATAGAATACATATATGAACTGCA